AAGCACTGGGTTCATCCCATTTAAAGTAGCTACTAGTCAGGATTTTGTTCCAGAGCTCCCTTAGGAGAAACCCCAAATCCCATCATTGGTGGAATGGATAATCTAACTCCAGCTTACCTGGCCTCTTACCCGTAAAGCATGAGATGATGCTCATCAAGCCCATAAGAAACAGGCAGATAAGAGTTCTACAGAGAAACTACCAAGTGGGAGATAAGGTCTTCTTGTCCACTTACAAACCACACAGAAATCTAAGAAATCGAGGCCTAAGTACGTTGGACCTTTCCCAATTGTACGGGTTGTGAATCCTGTGACAGTACAGTTAGAACTGCCAAAAACTCTTAGGAGAATCCACCCTGTATTTCCAGTTAGTTTACTGAAACCTGAACATGCCTCCTCTCTTCAACCTGACCATCCTACCCCTCCTGTTCCCCTAATTGAAGGTGAACAGCATTTTGAAGTTAAGGATATTCTGGACTCCAGGAAAAATAGGGGAAGAATTCGGTATTTGGTTGTTTGGAAACATTTTCCTCCTTCACAGTCGGAATGGGTTAATGAACGTCAGGGCCCTTAAACCCATACAATTATTTTTCTCTAAATACCTGGATAAGCCTTGATATAATATTATATATATATTAATTGCTTTTACTTGGGATACTTCTCTTTTTTTTTTGCAAATTTTATTTGAGTTTTCACAAAGAAAAAAAAATACAAATAAAACATCTTTTTTGAAAGTAGCGTAATCCCGGGTTACATTTCTTCGTACAGACACAAATTCAACTTCATGCTCATTTTTATGTTCTATTCCATATCTTATTACTGTTTTACATTTTCTGCATAGCTTCTCCCCTCTTTTAATTTTCTCAATTGTATTTTAATTATCTCATCTCAATTCAAATCATTATATTTATATTTTTTGTCTGTCCTGTTTCAATTATCTATTATCTTTTCTCATTAAACAAAATTTCTCCTGTAGTTACTGATTGGAGTATGGCGCCTTTATATCTTTTACGTTTATCCATTTAACTCTTATTTAGGCTTGAATATATGCCCTAAAGTTATAACATTCAATATAATACATAACTTCCATTCAGATTCTGCTTGGTACATTCTTAAAATACACACGATATTCTTAAAAAAAGAAAAAATTATAAATGTATGTAATTAAAACAAACACATTCCATTCCAATTCAATTCTATCATTAATATTAATATTCATTAAAATCTTAACTTCTTTAACATTACTTTTCAATTAAATATCATACTTCTATGGGAATAATTATAAGCTTTCCATAGTTAATTCCTCCCTCTTCACTTATATTTTATAAAACATTAATTAAAATATTCCCGTTTCTTCCTAATTCAATTTTCTCATTTATTTTATTTCACTTATTTTATTAACAAACATTTCACTAAATTACACTATTTTATCCCTCATTTTAATCATACATTGTTTCCAATTTTCTAAAGTTATTTCTATTATTAATATAACAATACAATCTTATGTACCTTTACGGAATCCCTTTTTCAGTTAGATTTTCACCCATTATCTCTAAATAGGTCGTTTCTCTATATCTTGTTCTGGTCCTTTGTAACTTCTTTTCCTTTTCTTCTTCCCTCTCTTCTTCTCTCTCCCCTTTTTACCCCCTTGTCTCTCTACCTCTATTTCTCTCTTCTGTATTGCCCTTTTCTGTTGCTTTCCAGCATTATACTTATTTTTTGAATTATTTTTCTTTTCTTTGGTTGTTTTTTTAAGTCTTAAATTCTCCATTCTCTTTCCCCCCCTTTCCTTTTTCTTCCCCACATAAAATTGCTTGTTTATTAAAGATGGCTTCTTCTTTGTCCCAGTCTTCTTGTTTTGCAGTCTTGTTGTTTCTCATAGTTCCAAATCTCCATTTCTAAGAATTGAAAAACGAAGCCAAAAGAACCCTTCCTTTCTTGTGCATCTTCTTTGTATTTTTTAAGTTCCATTTTCAATTCATCCAGAAGTAGTGCCATTGTATAAATTTTTAAACAACCACCCGATTAATTTTAGTCATTTAAATGTAATAACCAAGAATCCAAAGATCACCAAATAATCCAAATACACACAAGCTGTTTCTTTTTGCTCTTTTTTTTCACTTTCTCTTCCTGGGGTTACTGTTTAGTTACAAAGTTTCAGTTAAAATGTATCTTTTAGAAGTCTTGTTGAAGTTTTACTGTAGATTCTTTTTAATTCCAGGCAGTCTCCTCCCTCTTTCCAGATCCTGCCCTTTTATTCTTTTTCTCTCCCTTCCTGCTTCTGAAAAAAATTTTTAGTGTACAGAAATCTTTATTATCCCTTTGACATTTTGTTTTACTTTCAGCTTAATTGCCTGTTGATGTCAAAGTGGATTTTTCCAATTTCTTATTTAAGTCTCTTAATTGTCAGTATAGGGAAGGGGAGAGAAGAAAAAAAACCCAAACCTTTCCCTTTTCACTTTCCTTTGTTCTTCTTTGGGAGCGATGTTATTTTTTTGTAAGTTTAAATTCCAGGGGACCTTAGTTGTTGCTTTTACAATTTAACCCAGTCAGCCAAAACTTTCACTTCTTATCTTCCTCCTGCACATTCTTTTCCGGTCGAGTTCTTCTTTGAGGTGGCCATTTCTGACCACCGCTGCAACCGCCTTCGGGAAAGGGAGTAATGGCCAGCTGAGGAGGAGAGATGTGGCTCTCCTCAACCCTGCTGGCAGCCTCCCCCCTCTTCACTTCTATGGGGTGGCTCGGGGCGCTCCAACGGTGAGCCCAGACCGAAACCGCGCACAATCACCGATTTCTGTCTGTCGCCAAAGAGACTTCAAACCAGAAGCCTACTCGGGATACTACTTTGCCTGCCTCTTTTGCAGGAGGACCGAATATCAGCCTCTGCAAAGTTTTCTTGACATCTTTTGCTGCTTACTTCCTGTTGGCTGCCTTAGAAATGGAGGAGGGATAATTTTGGTTTTTTGGAGGGGAAGGTTGCTGGAGAGTGAAGACATTTTCTGTGTGAATTGAAAAGAAGATGTTTTCCTGCTTACCGCACAACTGCATTGACATATATCTACTAAGCCAAGGTCAACTGTCTTGGCATACCAGATGAGTGAGAAACCACTTGAAGATGCACTCCACATGACATTATAAACACCTCAGATTGGATGACCATTCTGGAGTCTTGGGGGAGGAAACTTGGGATAACTTTCAATATGTAATATTCGCGCTCATTTGCTTCAGATCTAGCTTTCTTTTGTTGCTATCACTTCAAACTCGGTAACAGTACTTTTTCTCTACATCAATGGAGTTGAAGGATTTCTTTCTTGGGTTTTGAATGAGGCAATGCTGAGTATATCCACAAGCTGCAGTGTCCCGGAGATACAACCATCTGGCCACAACCCACACACATTGCTTCCAGCAACGCCTCCCTCTGCCTGCTGTGCTAAATAGTCCCTCCCGGGCAGGGCCTTTTCCCCATCAATCTGGAGATCTCCATCTCTCCGTTCTGCGTGCTCTAGCATACACCAAGGCTGGCAGCTCCTCCCTCTCTTCCCCACTGGCCTGCAAATTCTACCCAGCTGAGGCATGTTCTGCCAGCAGCTCAGGGTCAGCAATACCAGACATACCAAGAATGCTCTCATTCTCCCTCAAAGCCTCTGAGGAATAAATATTTTGGAATATTTCAAACAACATAATGAAAGCAAGTTGAATTCATATTTTTAGATGCAGAGAAGTTTTTGAATTGCATTTTCCTGTTTTGACAAGTGAAGTATCATTGAAACAATGGCAAAAAATATATCTAAATGTTATGGCATGAGAAAAACTAAATATAAGATACTGTAAGATACATAGAAAAGAGAAGGATTGAATCTTCTGGATTTAAAATTACATTTCTGCCTATTGTTTAACTTGGATAAAATAGTGGATGCCTTATGAAGGCTATTGGAACTAGGCGGCCATAATGTGAGATATGGATGGCATGGATACCTATGGTGTAACAAAACTAAGGTTGATGTAGATTTCAAAAATAATTGTATCAGGTGGGCCATTTTTAGAGTAGGGAATAAATATAACTATAAATATAAATATAAATAAATATAAATAAAATTCCCCCCCCCTTCCCCATTTCTCTTCATCTCGTATAGTTCAAGCGATGTGAGAAACGGTGGGGAACCATTTGGTTTAAATAGGCCTGAATTTTGGGGGAGGGGCTTAATTTCACCTTATGCCTAGAAAACATGCTGGGCCTTCCTATTGTGGGGGGCGTACTGTCGGAGAAACACAGTACTTGCAGCATCACGGGGTCATCTTTTGCAACCTTTTGACAAGCAAAATCAATGGGGAAGTCAGATTCACTTGACAACCGCGTTACTAATTTAAACAACTGCAGTGATTCACTTATCTGTGGCAAAAAAGCCGTAAAATTGGTTAAACTTTATTTAACAACTGTCTCACCTAACAACAGAAATTTGGGGGTCATTATGGTAATAAATTGAGGACTACTTGCAATAAATATATAAAATTTTGTGTGTGTGTACATTTATGCATACATTTATACATACATATATGTATATGTATGCCTACATGTGTACACACACCCAAATATACATACATACACATACACACACACACACACAAATAATTGTTAAAATATCTTGAGAAGCTACAGATATCTAATTTCTATTCAGGTTAAGATATAGCTTATTTCCAACCTATGTTTCAACTAAAACATTCCACAGAAACCAAATCAGCCCTCTGATTTATTTTCCTTAACAAAAATCACTTACTTTGCATCTGTATTTTTATTTCTCTAATAAAATCACCACTAAATTTTAAAAGGCTTAGCAACCAGAGATGTTAATTCAGCCAGTAAATTATATCTCATTCTGTTTTGTCATTCCTGACATCAATCTGAAAACCACCTATTTGAAATTTGAGGTTGCTACAATTTGATCTCTTAACCTCATGCACTCTACAGAGATCTTGAATGAGAGAACTTTTTTTATTTCTAATACCTGACTAGAATCAAAACAGCGCATGTTGGTAAGGTAAAGCTGGATTAGATTCCGGAAACACTTGCTGACTCTTTGCAGGCTCAAGAGCTGTCTCAGAGGAAGATGTGAAAGAATATGAGGGAATATGATGTCTTCCCAAGGCAAATCCAAGAAATGTTTTCTGGAATAAAAAGCAAAAAGCAAGCAAGAAAGCTGTTTACACCAAGAGGCAGAAGGGGGAGGTCACCCTGCTTTCAATTTGTCAGGGAAGTCTTTTTGATATTTTAGCACTGAAAATCAAGCGATATTTTGCAACAAGGTTAACTTAGCTCATTCTTTTTTGCACAAGTATTACATCCAAGGAACGCTGCGCAGCACACAGAAGGTAAAAACGCCCTCAAATTATTCTTTTCAGCCTCAAATTATTCTTTTCTCCGGCGACGCTGAAGAGGCGAGCAAGCGACACCCCTTCCCAAACCAAACAAAAAACACACTTTGGCGTCTCCATCCGTCGCGGCAGGGATTCAACCGAGCCGGCGCTCGGGCACCCACGGCGGAGCAACGCTGCAGCAAGAGGCTGGAAAAACCGCCGTGGGCGCAGAGTCCAGTCCCGCTTAGCGCCAAACGGACGGCCGACAAAAACGCCAGCTAACCCCCAGCTATCCAGCCCAGCCCTCCCGGCTATTCCTTCGCGAACCTCGGCGACGCCGAAAGAGCAGCCATCCTCCACCTCGGCCACCTACACCGCACCTTCCGCGGAAATTACGTCATTCAGGGAGCGGAAACCGGAAGAAGCAGAAGATTGTAGAGATAAGGGGAGGGAGGTGCGAAACACAGGCGAAGACGCTCGCAGTAAAGAGGGAAACCAGCTGCCTATAACTCAGGACCCGAAATATGACGGGAACGAAGCAGAACGATTTCGCGGCACTCCGGGTTAGAAGTGCGGACAGCCTGATGGCCTTGAGAGGCTTTTGATTTTGGCTTTGAGCCGCCCCAAAAAAATCGATTAAGTACTGGATCAAAGACCGTGGAATGAAGTCAAAATCCGAATAAAATAGAAGCTTTGAAACAAATACGTTCTGCTGATTGGAATCCACTTGAAACCACCATCATCGATACATTATATAAGCGTGGATTATATAGTGTAGGCAGAATGTGGGTTCAAAGCTCAGATCCTTCTGATTTTGCGGATTTGTTACATGACAGCGTATGAAACCATCAAGATCACAAAATGAGTTTCTGCATGTGCAACGTTCCAGGCAACTGTCACAGTAACAGACTCAACAATTTTGGTCTCACTTGAGCTGGTTTAATTTAGCTCCCTCTTAATGCTCTCCTAAAGTGCAGTTACCTCGTCCCCAGGGCCATAGCAGTAAGCCCATTTTGTTCAAGTGGTGCTTTTTCAAAAGGCAAGTGGACTTTCTTTGCTTTCTCTTGCAGACGGTTCGCTTCTCATCCAAGAAGCATCCTCAGTTCTGACTAAATGCTGGGGAGTGGAAGGATTTATTCCTTGCAGTCATCTGGTTGTTAGCAATTTGAGGGTGGGTCATTAGTTCTCTGAGAACCCTTTGATTCAGATAGCTCCAACCTCTTCAAGGTTTTGAAGACCGAGCTGTTTCCCTAGGGGCATCTGGGGCAGAAAGTAAAATGAGCTCTGCTGGTGCAGGTTTTTTGGTTTAGGTCTTGTTGTTTTGAGCAGGCTAAAATGGATTATATACGATGGTGGATTTGATCTTTAGTCATTGCCCAGAATCACTGTGACTCCAAAAATCATATAAATAAGTAAATGACGGGAATTTTCTGATGCCTTTTAACTACCTATATTATAAATAAGGATCATTAAATAAAATTATAAACCTAACATTAAACATTAACAAATATGACAATGTTTGAGATAAATAGTGTGTCAGTATATAAGAAATTATGAACTGGGATAGACATAACAACAAGTCAGCCAATAGGAACTGTTTGGTGACTAAGAAGCAGCACCTAGATAATCCAGACTGTAGTCGGGGTCACCAGCACCACTGGCTGCAACAGAGGATGAGGAGGAGTGATGAAGCCCATTGTCGTCACCCTGTGCCAGGGCCCCGGCTGAAGAATAAGAGGAAAAGAAATAATCAGGACTATTGAGGGCTTCATGACTCCCAGCCAGCTGACAGCAGTCGCTGCTCCCAGCATTGCCATAGCATAAACCTCCATCCCACTCCTCCCTCAACTGTTCCATGTTGGGCATTATTTCTACAGTGAGGATATCCTTTTCAATTGCACCATTCACCTATACCATGTTGATTCTCGACCAAGCCTTATGTGGACTAGAATAAAATGTATAATCTTTATCATTTGGGTTTCTTTTTCACCATATATCTTCCAAATTGGAGGGTATCAGTTCAAAAAAATAGTTTTGGTAAAATTTTCTCTTTTTTTCTCCTAATTTGCTTTTTACTAATACAAACTTTTTCCATGTCTACAATGGCATTGAAGTCCCCTACTAAGCAGATATTCTCCTGTCTTGTCTCAATTATTTTTTCATACAATTTCTTATAAAACTCTTTTTGATTATCATTAGGGGTATATATCCTCACCAAATTTGTTTTTCTTGAATGTTAAGTTGTACCATTAAGATTCTACCCTGTTCTTCAGCATAAATTTGTTTTGCACGTATCCCTTTCCTAATATACATTACTACTCTTTTTTTCTGATTCACCAATGCTGTATATAATGCACCCAATTTGGGGTAATCTAAACATTTGCTGTGCTGTTTTTGGATATGTACTTCTTGTAAACATACAATATCAATATTTTGTTTTACTAATTTAACCAATATTTGTTTTATCTTAGCCAGGTAATTCAATTCATTGAACTCCCTGGCTAAGAAATTTATTGAAATTAGTTTAATTTCTTCTTCCATTTTACTAATTATAAGTTTGTCTTAGTCTTCTTTTAACTTTTGCTTCTCTTTGTGGTCTTGTTCTTAATCCTTCTCTTCTCGGTTGTTCTCTCTCTTATCTTTTCCTTCCTGTTCTGTTTCTTGTACCTCCTGTTGCTGGTCTTCTTGCTGGTCTTCCTGGCTTTTACTTTCCAACTCTTCCTTACTGCTCACTTCTTCCTCTAATCCCACTAACTAGTCATATAATTCTTGCGCCTTATCAATACTATCGATTCTCATTCTTCTTTCTTGCCAAGGAACCAACACTCCTTCTGGTACCAACCATCTGAACCAAATGTTTTGTTTACTCAGAAGTGCTGCTAGAGATCTATAGTCACCTTGGGATCTGTTTCAAGGTCATAATTTCTTTGTCGTCGGCTGATTCTTTGTAATCTTATATATGATATCTCTTATGTTTTTTCTCATGAATCTTATGTGCACCTCTCTCAGTAATTTATGTCACCTCACATAATTCGTATGCATTCTATACACCTCATCAAGTTCATTTATAATCTCTTGCCAATCCCGCTGCATTGTTTCTGCTATCAACTGTCTTCATCTTTAGTTTCTGGTACATTCTGGAATCTCAAATAGAACGCTGCATGTTCCATTTCTAGATGTATTTTCAAGTTCTCCAGATCTCTGTTCATCTCCGTTACTTTCCTATCCATCACTTCCAACTTCTAGTCGATTTGTTCTGCCTTGGTTTCTATATTGTTTAAATTTTTACTCATTCTTTTCCATTGTTTGCTGAATCATTCCTATTTTTTCATCCAATTTTTGAATGTTGCCCTTCATCTCTCCCATATCTGTCTTCAACTCTGTGATTTTTTGACATTGTCTCCTACGTTTTAAGCATTGTTTCTTGAATGACTAACAACATTTGCATTGCTTGCATATTGGTGGTATTATTTGCCTTTTCTGTGTTCAACATCCCATCAATCATTTTTTGACTCGCTGGGGATGCAATGGACAGTGCTGAACCTGAAACAGCTTTTTTCCCTTTCAATGTTGTTGTTGTGATGCTAGTCATGTTCTTAATCTTATTATATAATTCTTCCCACTTTACCATCCACAATTTACTTCTATCCACACTATCTATTCTATTCAATATCCCTTTTCTCTAAATGTCTCTTCAAATATCTCAAATATAATACAATATATCTATTTACTTCTTTTGTTATCCAAAAATTTAATTTAAGTTATTAATAGTTCTTACAATAAGATTTTACTTTATTGACAGATCTTTAAAATTATTAGCATAGAAAGAAAAGAAAAAGAAAAAAGAACAGGAGAAAAAAAAAGAATTAATATCTTATCAATACTTTAGTTTCTAATTCTCACTTTGCTAATACCTAAAGTTAATACCTTTTATCAATATTTATATATAAATATTTTATTTATTTTAAAGAATATAAAATATTAAATTCCTAACATCAATCTTTTACTTAGTTCATTAATCAGTAATAATCAAACCAACAGTTCATTAATCATCTAATAGTATCAATCATATGTTCCATTCACATTCAAGTCTATTTCTCAGTATTAATTGAATTTTTAGATAAGTCCCAAGTTTTCCTTCTAGTCCCTACTAAATTCATTAATCAATTCCACTTTTAATAACTAAATACTCAGTTCCTTTAACACCTAACAGTATCAATCAATTAATTAATCAAGATATTTCACCAGTTATTATACAAATTTGTATCAATCGCAGTTCATACACGTTCTGCTTAGTTATGATCTGTTGCATCAGCTTCTCTTCCACTTTTGTTGTCTGTTGAGGTTAAGATGGTCATTTCCGTTCTTAATTCCAGTCTCTATGTCTCCCTTCCACCGATCTTCACACTTAAATCACAAATCCATGTTTTCTTGTTCCAAATTTTCCATATACTCTGTCCTCCGATATAATACTCAAATCCAATCAATATCAGGTAAACAAACACATCAGCTCCAACTCCTTGTCTCCAAGCCTAGTGCTCTTACCGCCGGATCGCCACTCCACAATTGGACCTCTGCCGCTATTTTGAGACTCACAGTTCTGCTGTCTGATGCCTACGATTTCTCCCCTTCAACAGCCACTCTCCACCTTCTTGTGATCACTCTTAAACAGTTTGATGCTACTACTGCTGTTCTTATATCTTCCTCATTCAGCGAGATCCCCGCGACTTTGGTCTGCCATTAAAATGACAGATCACTCACCCGCTGGAGCAAATGGGGTTTCCTTTCGATGTAGCCAGCAGTTGCCCTCCGCCTTGCCACTTCTCAGGCTTCCCCACACTTTCACTGATCCCTCCAAGATTTGTGTGCCCCTCGGGTGGGCCTCCAGACGTGCAGATTGGGGATGAGAGAACGGAGCACAATCTCCTCTACCCACACTACCATGGCGCCACAACCGGAAGCCCTCCCAAGTAAGAATTTATTAAAGAAGGCATGTTGGCACATCTGGGAAAACCTGAATCTGAAACTTCCAGGTTTTCCCTTCCCCAGGTGAAAATCAATGATCCATCCCCTGCACCCATCAGTCCATCACATGGTCCAATCAAATGTCATTGAAACAGAAACCACTTCTTCGTTCAATCCCCTCCAGGTGCAGGATGACACGGCCTTGACTTATCATAAGAATGTTGTTTAGTCTAAATTACTACTCACTAAGAATTCCCCCCTCCCAAATTCCCAAGCACTAACTGTGGCAGCCTCGAAGCATCTACAAAACTTTTATGGCTAATAAAATATAGCTTCCATGGCTAACATTTTGTGCTCTGCAATGATAATAAAGAAAAACAGTTAAGGAACTAAAGATCATTATTTGTATTAACACTTTACTTAGTTGTTTACTAATAA